TCTTGTTAGTTTTTTTTCCCCCTGCTTTACTATTTCAGCTTAAATCCATAGTTTTATTTAGGTATCAGGCTTCATTTACTATTTTGATTGATGAAATGATTGATGAAGCCCACATAATATGGATTCTGGACATTTGGGTCTACTGCCAAGACACTCAGCACCTCCAAAGGAACCCCTCAGGGGCCTTGAGGAGAACTGCTGAGCAATTCATTTAGGCTGAAAGAAAGGAGTCAACTCCTTTTACCCCAGCCAGATTTCCTCATTTTGGTGCTCTGGACATTGGTTTGCCATTGGCTTCTTTGAGTAATTTATTTTCTATGACTGGTGTTGTTTTGACTATCTAATTACATCTGGGCTGTTTCACTTTGAGTTTTTACAGATGAAATCTTGTCACTATAAGGGATTTCCTTCCCCTTCTCAGGCACAGAGACTTGAGGAGGTCCAGTGGGAAAATGAGAAAGTGGGGTAGGAGAGATGGTACAAGCCTTACAGATGGTGTCCCCTCCAAAATTCATGTTGAAACATAACACCTAACACAACAGTATTAAGAGGTATGGCCTTTCAGAGCTAATTTAGTCATGAAGGACCTTCCTGCCCTTCCATCAATTCTGCCATGTAAGGACACAATGTTCCCACCCTCCAAAGGCTGCAGCCCTCACCAGACACCAAACCTGCTGATGCATTTTCTTGGATTTCCCACCCTCCAGAACCATGAAAAATAAATTTCTTTTCTTTGCAAATTAACCAGTCTTGGGTATTTTATTATAGCAGCATACCTTATAATTGGTCAGAAGGTATAACACAGATGTTAAGTACCCAAACCCAGCTAGCTGCATCTCAAATGTACTTTATATTCTACCTTCTCTTACCACCCTAGCCTGAAGTGTCTCCTGAGTACAACATTGCAAAGTTGTTCATATTTGTCTTAAACTGTTATTTAAGCCTTTTATCATTGGATAATTTTTTGACAGTTTGATGAATCTTTCCAACTATATTGTAACCTTGAGAACAAAACCAAAATCTTACACCTTTTAGTCCTAACTATCCCTACCTAGTCTTTAGTACCAATCACACTGAAGAATGGTTAATATATCCTTTGTGACTAGAAACATGGATATGTGGATAGAAATAAACCAGATGATTCTTAAGCATCTCCACCTCATATGTCCTTCAAGGCTAAGATGCCACTTTGTACTCTTGACCCTAAAAGATGTATGTCTTCCAGCTCAAGGGCCCACCAGCATGCTCTCCCTTCACTACTGCGTTAATTTATGTCCATTTCTTTCTTCAAGGTGATGTTCAACACTTTTCTTCCCATGCATTCCTAGCCTAACTCCACCAGATCCCAGATCCCAATAAACACCATCATTCTCGGCATGCCAATAGTCACATGTGTCACTACGTAGGTAGGTGTGGCTGATTCTAGAGTTTTTAGTAATTATTCCATGCATGTTTCTGATAATTCTACTTGAGTTTGCTCTGCTTCCTGCTTTGAGTTGCAAGTGACTTCATGGCAGAACTTCTAGAGCACATCTCATCACTTCTCATAGCCCCTCATATCCTCTTTACATGTCACATGATGGATGTCCAAGTTATGGCCACTGATGATGAATCTGCTAGGAAAGCAGACTCAGCAAAGCTAGGAGATATTGTTTCCTCACAGCTAAGTTTAAAGCCTGGAGAAGGTATCACTGAAGCACTCCAAGAACTCCAAGAAAGCACAGAATTACTTTTCCCTTCTTTTTGTGGACTGGTAGGAAATTTTTTCCTTCTCAGAACCTACACAGGGCAGGAATGAAACACAGGCACCCAGACACATCTTTGTTTAGTCTGGCTACAAAGTCTGCAACTACTGAGTAATAGAAACTTCTCGACTTTATTACTCCCAGAGTTAAACACAACCCAAGGCTTCTCGGCAAGCTAATAAAAATAAAGTGGAGAAAATTACATGCTTTAATAAGTTCTTTTAAAGACAGATCTTTTTTTTTTTTTTTTTCCAAAAAGATGACTGGTAAGGGGATCTTAACCCTTGACTTGGTGTTGTCAGCACCACGCTCAGCCAGTGAGCGAACCGGCCATCCCTATATGGGATCCGAACCCGGGGCCTTGGTGTTATCAGCACTGCACTCTCCCGAGTGAACCACGGGCCGGCCCAAAGACAAATCTTGTTTAAGAAGATTTAATGCAAACATTAAGAGATGCTAGTAATATAATAGAAAGAATTTTCCAATTCTATTACTTGATGTAGCAAAAGCTTTTGATTTGGCTTATATATTTTTTTAAACATTAGCACCAAAAAGTAATTAAATAATGCCACAATTTTTGATAGGCTCAAAGCAGAAAATGCTGTTTCTCCTTCCTCCTTCCCTAATGACAGGAAGGCAATACTGTACAGTGGTTTGAGTAAAATTCAGCCTGTAAAGCCCAGTTGCTTCTGTTCAAATCCTGGCTTTACTTTCTCCTGGCTGTGTGACTCTGTGCAAGGTGTTTAAATTTCCCTAAGCTTCAAGATCTTCATCTATAAAACGATGAAGATGATTGTACTTACCTGCTATGGTCTGAATGTTGTATTCTCCCAAAATTTGCATGTTGAAGTCCTAACCCCCAAGGCGATGGTTTTAGGAGGTGGGGCTGTTGGTTAGAGCCCTCATGAATAGTATTTGTGCCCTTAGAAAAGAGGCCCTAGAAAGCTGCTTTGCACCTTCTACGGCGTGAGAGACAGTGAGAAGGCGCCATCTCTGAACCATGAAACCTCACCAGACACCAAATCTGCTGGTGCTTTATCTTGGGCTTGCTAGCATTCAGAAAGGTGAGAAATAAATTTCTGTTGTTTATAAGCTACCCAGTCTACGGTATTCTGTTACAGCAGCCCAGACAGTCTAAAATACTACCTAACTAGATTGTTGTATAATTTAAGTTAGTTAATACACGTGAACAGTGCCTGGCATGTGGCAAATGCTCAATAACTATTAGGTCTTATCAGTGTCACCACCCACTGTGACCACCACCCACCCGGATCACCCCCACAACGCACTGGGACCACGACCCAACCATCATATCCCAACAGCACTATCATCGTCCTTCACCATCCACTAGCAGAACCTCCACTCTCACTCACCATCACCCACCATAAACACCCCATCATCTACCATGACCTATTACATCACTTTTGTCTTTCATTATTGAGCAGAGGCTATAAAAGTAGCCAGAAAGTCCTTTTCGACATAAGGACTTACAAAGGGCTTTGAGATCCTAAAGAATCTACTTATTAGAGTCTTCTAATTTCAAATGTCCCAACACTCTCATAAGGATCGTGAACAACAATGGTAACTACCATGACTACAGACTCATTATATTTCCGGCACTGTGCTTGTCTTAGTTTTCCATGGATTATTTCATGTAAGCCTCACAACAACTCTGTGAGGTACTTCAAAAAGTTCACAGAAAAATAAAATTAAAAGATAATACCAATCTTTCCATGAACATTTTAAAGCTCCTTCATATTATTATTATCTCTGTTTTACATGTAAAAAAAGAACTGAGGCTGGGAGAGTTTTACTAACTTGCTTAAATTCACATGACTAGGAAGTGAGAGAGCCAGATTTGAACCCAAGGTACTCCATTCTCCAGCTCAAACTCTTCTTCCAAATGTAGGTATTTAGAAATATTCTTTTAGGGCCGGCCCGGTGGCGCACTCGGTGGAGTGTGGCGCTTGGAAGCGCAGCGGCGCTCCCATCAAGGGTTCGGATCCCATATAGAGACCGGTCCGCTCACTGGTTGAGCGCGGTGCGGGTGAGACACCGAGGGTTGCGATCCCGTTGCCAGTCACGAAGAAAGACAAAAAGGAAAAAAAAAAAAAAAAAAAGAACTATTCTTTTATTTTTCACACTGTCCATATTTCTCTTTTCATGCTCTCCCCTGTGACAATCTACTGTCAACCGTCTCAGCTCCAGATGGTCTGCACATCTACCCAGTTCCAATCTGCTGACTGACTGGTCTCTATCCTATAAACACAGTTAGGGGCATCTCTGTTGTCGCACACTGTGAAATCAATGTAGTCTGATCTAAACTAAACCTATTTTCTTCCATCCCAACCCATTTTCTCCTTCTGACATCATTATTTCTTCTCTCCCTACTCTCAAATCTTTAAGCTTTAATGTGACCTCTGTTCTTTTTCTTTCAATATACCCAGGCTCAGCCATCATCATCACTATCACCACCCAGTCACTTAAATTCTGTCTCTGTACCTTCTTTCAAACACATCTCCTCCAGTCCATTCCTACCACCACTGTTATAACTCAGAAACTCATTATTCCAACCTGAGAACAGAACCTGTCAGTGGTACCCACGAGTCTCTCTTCTGTTAAAAAGGTTTCTCAGTTCTCCATGTACCAAATAAATACTAAACCTTTCATCTTGGCATTTAGCCCACCTATTTCATACAATATTCAGTACATTATTCTGGGACAATAAATGAGTTTTGGTAGAGATGGAATTCACTACAAATGGGACGTGACTTGTATTAGGAATAATAATATTTCTGATTGCTATAGCAATATTTTTTTCCTCCTGGGAGTTTAATTACCATTCACAGCTATTCAGATATTCTTGATTTTATTCATTTACTCACTCATCCATCCATCCATTCATACGGTAGTCTAAGGATCTGGAGGCACATGTGAAATAAGTGAGGTATTAACATCGATATTAATAAGGCCCCTGTTTTACTGATAGGAGAAGTGGCACAGAGGTGAGGAGGCCAAACCTCTGCAGTGAATTTCTTGCTGGATCTAGGCCGGGAGCTCAGTGCTCTGCCCAGTGGACTCTACTCTTGATCCTTGTCTGGTCTGATTCATCCTGAGATTTCTCTTGCCAGCCAGATACCTGCAGAATCTGTCATATTTATGGATAAGAAGCAATGGAAAGGATCCCCTTTTCCTTCTGTGTATCCATGATTATGCCATCCCGTGTCTGAAAGGCATGGAAAACATGGGACTCACTGTTCACGAAGACGGCAAACCTCAGGAAGGACAGGTAGCGTTCCCCTTCAATGGGGTTCCAGCCAATGTCAGGGTATCCTTTGGCTAGAAGCATGGGGCAGCTCTGTAGGCCACAGCCTGCCAAGTAGGTGACCACCTGGCAAGAACAGCACAAAAGTAAGTGTCCACTCACACCTGTTAGGACAGCTACTATAAAAAAACCAAAACCCAAACCCAGAAAATAACAAGCGTTGGTGAGGACATGGAGAAATTAGAACACCTGTGCACCGTTGGTGGGAACGTAAAATGGTACAGCTGCTGTGGAAAACAGTATGGTGGTTACTCAAAAAATTAAAAATAGAACTACCATATGATCCAGCAGTTCTTCTGGGTATATATCCCAAAGAATGAAAAATAGCATCTTGAAGAGGTATTTGCACACCCGTATTCACAGCAGATTATTCACAGTAGCTAAAATGTGGAAGTAACCCAAAGGTCCATTGATAAATGAATGGATAAGCAAAACATGCTACATACACACAATGAAATATTCAGCCTTAAAAAGGAAGGAAATTCTAGCATATACTACAACACGGATGAATCTTAAGAAAATATGCTAAGTGAAATAAGCCAATCATGAAAAGACAAATACTACATATTGCACTTACATGAGGTGGTTATAGTAGTAAAAACCATAGAGACAGAAAGTAGAATGGTGGTTACCAGGGGCTGGGGGATGGGGGAATGGGGAGCTGTTTTTAAATGGGTATAGAGTTTCAGTTTTACAAGATGAAAAGAGTTATGGAGATGATGGTTCCAAAACCATCATGAAAGTATTTAATACCACTGAACTGCACACTTAAAAATGATTAAGATGATAAATTTTGTATTATGTGTATTTTACCATAATAAAAAAATTGTAATAAAAAAATAAGCCATACACATAAAGGCAAAAAAAAAAAAAAAAAAAGAAAGAAAAGAAATGCCCAAGTTTTTTTATGAGATAGCTGGGAGGTCTGCAAAATTTGTAAGGAGAACCTCTGATATATTTTTGTTTCCAAGTAATCAACAAGATTGATGATCATTGTTATGTAGGCACACACCATGTCAGTTCCCAGGTTTTTCTTGTTCTGGCAAGAGGGCACTGCTGTTTAAGAATAAGCCTAGCCAGGGTGCCTCTGGGAGATAAGAATGGAGAGAGAGAATGGCCCATGTGGGATATCCATGTTCATGTGGCAAGGAATTGCAAGGCCAAAACATTCAGTCACTGACTGACTCTTAGTGGGTCCTTGAGTAACCAGGGGCCCCTGCTCAAGTTCTGCATCAATGACAGCTGTCCAAAGTCAAAAGCCAAGATGTTAGGATTGGGATGTTCAGAAAAGAGGCCACAGCCCAGTATGGACTAGGTTTGGTAGTGTTCTCTTTGCTTCCAGGTTACCCAACACTTATCACAAGATCTCAGTGCTGGGATCTTGTACAGGATTTTAGATTCTGTCAACTTTTCAGCAAGTGTCAGACAAAAAGCCTGGCAAATAGATTTTTGTTTAAAATGCATTTGTTGGGCCGGCCCGGTGGTGCACTGGATAGTGTGCCGCTTGGGAAGCACGGCTGCGCTCCCGCCCGAGGGTTCGGATCCCACATACAGACCGGTTCCCGCTCACTGGCTGAGCGAGGTGCGGGAGCAACACCGAGGGTTGCAATCCCATTGCCGGTCCCCGGTCCGGTACGGGGGCAACACTGAGGGTTGCGATCCATTGCCGGACACGGAAAAAGACAAAAGACAAAAAAATAAAAATAAAAATAAAAAAAATAAAAATAAAATGCATTTGTTATCATAATTTAGCTTTTTATATGGAGAGAAGAGGAGAATCCACTGTGCTGCAAAATTATCAAAGTCAGGAATGATGTCGTTTTCATTTTTTAATCCCCAGGGTCAAGCACATAGTAGGTGCTTAATAAATGTTTGTTAAATGAATCATGTATTGGCTGATGTCAAACACTCAAGTTATTTTTAAGAATAATAAATCTAGGGCAAAACTCAGTAAGATTCTATTATCACACTTTTTCCTTCTTAAACCAGTAAGGGTACTCTATTCTGCTTGGAGCTCAAATTTAAGTTTGTCTTAAAAACATCAGGAAAACATCAATAGGGGCCAAAATTAGGCAGAATTTTCAAGGATACAGGTGCAGAGCATTTCACTGGCCATTAAAATAAGTGCCAGGAGCTTGACTGACAATCCCAACAGTGGGCAGCTCAGTTTTGTCTCATTTGTACATGAAAAGGACACTGATGATATAATTTCCTGTTGTATCTGGTGATTGCCCATGTAGACCAATGAATATGGGCCTCCACATACAAAGAACACAAATGTCCACATATTCTTGTCTATGGAGTTGACTATCCTTGCCCACAGGAGATCCTTTGGTCATAATATTGTGCTGCTGCCAGTTACTCACATTCTACCACATTTTCACCATAAGCTCACCAAGATGAAGATGCCCTGATGGAAACCCAGACTTTGGTCTCCTTTTCCTTGGTTTGGCTGCACTACAGGCAGAAGAGACCACCACAATGACCCCTCAAGCTCAGTTACCTTCTCGAGGTCTGGTTCCTCTAAGCTCAGAGCTAACTCGTTGTTATCCATCACGGAGGAAGCTGCCACATCCAGTGGGGTGGACCCCCTCATCGATGGGGAGGCTGGGGAAGGAGAGAAGGAGAGAAGGAGCGAGAAAGGGGCAGAGGCCATCCAGCACTGAGCTGAGACTGCAGTGCACAGAAGTAGACAGGAGAGGGCACCAAACACACTGAAACCTGGCTCACATCGCTGTTCTGCAATGGGCAATCCACCCGATTTAAGATTTTCTATCCTTTCTCCCCATACTCATTACTGACTGTGAATATGGATTAACAGAAAATCAGTTCACAGGATCAGCTGGGATCATGTATTTTCAGGTGCTTTTCCAACATAAAACTTCTTGGGGCCCCTATTTGGTGATCATTCAAAAGACTCAGATGTCACTTGACCAACTAAGGCCAAAGGACTCTACCTGGAGTTTAAAAATGGCCTCAAAGAACATTAACTCATATAGCTACCTCAGGTCACCAATGCTGATTTTTATTTTTCTTAGTTTGTTTGGCTCTTAGGTTAAAATTAAGAAAAACTTCAAGTGGCATTTTACAAAAGGTTAGTAGCCTGAGGTTGCATTTGATAAAGAAATCTAGATTTCAGATTTCAAGTGCATGTATTGTGTATTCCTCAGATTCATGTGGTTTATATCCAGAAAAGTGAGCAAAGCATGTGCACTAAGTTGTTTTTCTGGTGGTGGTGATGGATTTACACTGTTTATCCATAGTTGCTCTTGGCCAGTCTATCCTGCAGCTAAGGAAAGCACTTGTTGGTTGGCTGATGGGACAGGTGTGCAGCCTGAAGCCAGCCTGACATGAAGGGATTGGATCCATGACCTTGGTCTCATTAGCACTGCTCTCTGGTCTGCTGAGTGTGCTGGGAGGACCTGTGTCCCCAGATTATATCCATAATCACAGGGGGCATTGCAAAAACCAAAGGCTACTCCCAAGAGAGATGAGGTAAAATTATATGACTATGCCAACACAAATCTGTCACCAATGCTGGCTGGTAGCAGCATCTCTATTTGGTTGGAGAACATAGACATGGTATCATTATTTCACTTATTTTTAGAGTAGGCAGGGTCCCTTCTAGTATTCAAAAATACCTAGCACACATGTGGCTCTTTCCTTTTATCTCCTAAGTGGTCAGTAGTGGGACTGTAACCTCCAAGTCCACATGTGGGAGTTATAACATGACGTATATACCTAGGCCAACACTGCTATTCTCCAGCAGGTAACTCAGATGCTCAAACATGGCCTTCTGATTTTGCCGGCTAATTCGACAGAAATAGCAAAGGAAGCGGCAGCAGCTAGCAACCATCTTTGGGAAAGCAATCTGGAAGGAGAAGTAGAAAGTGTCAGAGAACAGAATCTGTCATGAGGCGTTTCTGAGAAGTCTGACCTCAAAGAGTCTTAGGTTGGTGAACTCTTGTAAGCCGTGAACAGTTTGAAAAATGAATTTTCTCCTTACTTCCAGTTTTTGCCAAGATGTATTCACAGGACAGACAAACAGTAGAGGACACCTAAGAAGAGGTTTCCAAAAATATTGGGAGCTATTTATAATTCCTGAAATATCTTTCCTCCAAAGGAACTGAATGTCAGACAAGAATTTTTGTCATTCTTGGATGTCATGTGAAATTGCATGACCCTGCACCAGACTGCTGTTGTTTCCAACCAGGAAGGGAGTGGACAGAACTCTGATGGGAAGTATCATAAAGGGAGATGGAGGATCACAGACTAAAAAGGCCCTCCAAGTCCCTGGCTCAAGCCTGGCCCCTGCAGTTAGGAAGCCCGAAGAGCATCACCCTCTGTTTCTGTGAGCCTTTTCCAATTACTTTTGTCCTTGATTAATTGCTCTCCTGTGGGTTCCTATAGTGCTCATAATCTGATTCAAACAATTTAGCATGGAGATTATACTTGGCTTCTCTGCTTAACAAAGTAATTAGCATCTCCAGTCCAGACCATGTCTTATTTTATTTACAATGCTCAATAAAAAATGTCCGTGTTAACCTTGCTCAGGATCCTAAGAAGACCTTGATTTCCCCCTTTAGAATCATAAAGGATGCTCTAAGAAATAAAGTTCTGAAACCTCCAGTATACCTGCTTGCTGAGGCATGCAGACATTTGCTCAGAGATGTTCTGGAGAGATTCCACTTTCCCAAGAGATCAGAAGGAAGCCAGAGAGGAATGTGAGCTTTGCTTCAGTCTTCCTTCATATCCCCACCCGCCAACACTTGGTGAAACTGCTTTGGAAACCATTCATTCCTAGGATCCTGGCACTCTGCTGCGATTTCCAGCATTCAAAACCATATCCCATCTACTATCTTTGGAAGCCACTTAACTCTGAGGAGGACCCCAGATGCATTGGGATAAACGCTCAGCTGTGTCCCATCCTCACAGTCCTCTCCCCTTGCCAACAGGAGCTCCCCGACAGCAGGTTCCTTGCGGGGGAGCTGGCAAGGAAACCCGGCTGTGTCAGGAGCCAGCTGACTGACAGAGGAAACATGAACATTCCCGAGGGAACACTGCCAGGTCACTAGAAAGATCTCATTCTCCTTTAGAAGAGCCTTCTCTGGACTCAGCACAAAGCACACTAGGCTCAGAAGTGGAACCTGGAGTTATTGCATCTTGGAAACAGGAGGACTGCTGAGTATGGGAAGTAAACTGCCCCATGGAATGAGCGAGAAAAGCCCCCAGGCTTCAAGAGCCAGAGCTCTCACACGGAAGGGTTCCATCCAGCAGCATCGTCCCCTCTCTGGGCTCCTTTTGGCACTGTAAGTGTCCCTCCCTCTCTCTGGGAAGAGTAACTGAGGCAAGGCACACCAGCCATCTGGCTCTGAAAAGGTCATCTCCTGTGCCTTGTCCCAAGGGTCAAGTTCTAGCTGAGTTCTCCTTATGGCATTACCTGGGACTTCTCTGTCCCCAACACGTTCACCATCACTTCCATCACCGTCTCATGCATGCCAAGGACTCTCATGAGGTTAGGATGTTGGTAAAACACCTTGTTGTTCATTATGTCCCTAGGATAAGGATCAGAGAGAGACTTCAGCACTGGCTAATTTCTATGCTATGAAAATTCAGGGGTGAGAACACACAAACACACGGGGTGTGAAGTAATGTAAAAGTGACAGGCTGAAAAGACAGTAAGAAGGCACTAGGTCAGCTGAAGTATATGTGGGGTGGTGGAGTGCTGTTTTTAGCAGATAGGAATACTTTGTACTTTATGTCTAAGGACTTGCTGTCTCTCTGCGAAACATTTCTCTGTTTTAAACAGTTGTCCCTTGGTCCTTTTTGTCTGTAACAGTGTTTGAGACAGCCCAGATCACAGAATCTCTCTTTATCCATGTACTCAGCCCCTTCTATTTTTTTTTCTTCTCTTATCCCTAAATCTATGTCACTCTGTACTTTAGTTTTCTTAGCAATAGGGCTGTATCCTTTTCTTAAGGGAATTTTATGTAAGATATCTATGAAGTTTTTGGACACCAGTCTTTAAAAGCCAATGACATTAACATGTAAGAACAATTATGTCTTTAAGTCATCCAAGGTAAATTCACATAATAAATCTACAGGCAAATCAAAATATACAAAGAACCTATTAATTGGCTGTTTACTCCCTTGCTGGGTGGTTACTTTTTGCCCACCTCTGCCCACTCCCCTTTCCCTGAGGGCTGCAGGAGAATCACCTGCAAACACTTGTTTTTACTGCTGATATGTCTACTGTGAAGGACGGGGAGAGACTAATTCTGTAGCTTTTCTCTCTTTGCATAAAAGCATCTCTGTTTTTATTATAAGATTTCTCTTTGGAAATAGTTTCAGGAATGCATGCATCCCTCGCCCCCGTCCCCACAGATTCTCAAAGTTCCTTTCCTGGACCTTGAAGATGCTCCTGTGATTTGCTCGCTCAGGGGTGGTGGGATGGAATGTTGAATAAAAGGAAGTCTGTAGTTCCAGTTCTTGATTTTGACCAAGTAAATTGTGAGCTGATTAGTGAACCTTTCTGGGCATTGGTTTTCTCATCTGCAAAACGTTAGTGCTACACTACATAATTAAATTAAATCCTTTGATGTCTAAAATGCTGTGAATCTTTCTGACTACATGGTTTCTAATGGAGAGTCATGAACTATTGCTATGTAAAAGTATCTCACAGAACTAACAAAAAACAATTCTATAAGTTAGTTCTGAGAAAAGGGAAGGATTAGGTGTCATTTTTCAGAGAGAACTCTCAGAAGATTTGTAGTCAAAAGCTCAAGTGCTCAAATTGTTTCTGTCTTGCATTGAACACATTGTCCCAATTTTTTTCATGGACTCCCTGGGGCTATTTTCATAAGATCCAAACTAAATAAATGCTTTTCTCCAGGACTCCTCCACACTTCTTTTGGCAATGCCCCTTCACCATGAGCATCAGGTAGTCTGGTCTCTCAAGTTACAAAGGTGACTTATCTGGCAAAGATATAATCCCTCAAGGAGTGAAATCAAGATCAAGGCACATGAAGATTTTTTGTGATTTGATTTCAGAATATCCATATATCAAGGTAAACCAGTTTTCCCACTTGCAGCTCTCTAGAGAGACTCGCACATAACCACGAATGACCTACCCCAGCCCATTGATCATGAGCAGCTCCTCTTCCTTGCCCATCCTGACGCTAAGGAGGGAGCGAATCTGGCCCAGGGCAGCCAGCAGGTTGATGGTATCACTCACGGAGGCCTGGCTGATGGTGTAGGTCTTCCTCAGCGCCTGCAGCAGCTCCCCAATGCTATCGTATTGTCTCCGGAGGAGGTTGAACATAATCCTAACCAGCTCTGCATCTTGGATCTGGTCTTCCTGGGCCCAGCGGATCATGGTCTGTGAGATGAGCTCCTTCAGTGTTGCTGGAAGGACAAGAGGAGGGACCAGTACTGTGGCTGCCATAGCTTAGGGAGAGCTGAGCATCTCAGCCACGTTGTTCAACTATAAGACACATCGTCAGTTAGCTGAGATTAAAAAATTCTTATTTTAAGGATGGGTTATATCATGCATTGAAGTAGAATATATTATCAAAAGACAAATATGCCAGCCATACTATAAGAAATTGAGGTTGCTAAAGGTTTATTTTGATTAAATAATGTTTGAATTGATGCTGTAAATAGAATAATCAATATAGTCATCCTTTGGTATCCTCAGGGGATCGATTCCAGGACCCTTTGTGGATACCAAAATCTGAGGATGCTCAAGTCCCTTATATAAAATGATGTATTTGCATATAACCTATGTACATACTCCAGCATACTTTAAATCAGCTCTAGATTACTTATAATACCTAATAAATGTAAATGCTATGTAAATAGTTGTCATACTGTATTTTAAAAATTTGTATTTTTTTTTTTTTTGCTGTATTATTGGATTTTTTTAAAAAATATTTTCAATCCATGGTTAGTTGAATCTGTGGACATGGAACCTGTGGATATGGAGGGCTATAGATTATCTCCAAGTGTTTTAAAGACATCACATACCATGAACTGATTAAGTCAAGCCACTGATTCAAGAATTATAAATGATGTTCTAGATGACATAAACATAAACATACACTAGAAGTGGACTGAGAACAGTCTGTCAGGTCTAGAGGCTTTGTAATTGGACATCTAACCATCACCCACGGACTGACTTCTTTGCTGTGGATCTTTGGCAGGAGTCAACTTCCACTGCATTGGGGCCTGTTTTCAGAAGCACTAAGAGAAAGAAACTACTATGACTTTGAACTCAGAATTTATTAGGGCTCCTACTGGTTACACAGAAATGCCACTAGCTGTCCAAGTAAAGGAAAGATCATTGAAGTGGGACTCAAGCCAGCTGTGGGACCTTCAGAGCTTGTTCTAAATGGCTCCTGAAAATTGCTGATTGGTGTTGGTGTAGGAAGATGATCAGAAGCAAGAGGCAGTTCTGAGCAGGAGAACACAGTGGAAGGGACCCTCCTGGAACGGATGGGAAGGCGCTGCTCACCCCTCCCCATGGCATACACACTTCCAGAAGATGCCATGACGGAGGCGAGAAATGCTACCCTTAAATCGTACTTGCATCCAAGTCTGGAATTGCCTATCACATTCCTGCAAGATATAGATGGTACTAAGATCCTTAATTCAGACCTGGTGATAAAGGCAGAGATAAGGGGATGATGGGGGTCACGCAGTGAATCAGTAAAAAAGAACTGGCAATAAACTCAGATCTGCGCTTTTGGTAGCCTGTGTCATCTTTAATAGTTGAGTTTTTCTACTCCATATCACTATATATGGCAGATGTTTGTTTTACATAGACTTGGCTCATCATGAGGATATAAAAATAGAACTCATTTACCAAAGCTTTAAAAGAGATCTAGATGTAAAGGATTAATTTAACTTACTGCTATGTCTATCAACCCTGTGGGTGTTTTAGGTTCAGACGGGAGACATGAGCTGAAAAACTTAAAAAAAGGATACCCAAGTCAGAGACAAGCACAGTTAAAAGGTGTTTCAAAGAGATATCACTAGGCAGGGACTGCTGACTAATATCTGTTAGTTTAGATAATATTTGTAACCTCTAGGGAGAAAAGTTATTTATGGGTTAAGCTGGGCTCCTCTCAAGAAACTTGGTTCCTCGGCAGCCAAATGTAAAAGTTTCTGTGTCTTCTAGTTAACATTCACAGTAAGAATGAAAGCAAGACAAAAACATAGAGACTCTTGGACCCAACGTAAGTTTTTCTAGTCCTGTAAGTACAAGTTTCTCTGAAGCCTATACCTTGGCTTGAAAGAATTATAGATCTCACCACTAACAACCAAATTCTCAGCAGAGATAATACATATCATCACGGTCCTTGCCACACAGGAAAAGCAACAATCAGATCCAGACAGCATGGTTAATTAGCTCAAGGACCATCCTGTATTCAACAGGGAATTTTAGAGTCATAATGAAACCAAGTAAATATTAGCTTTTCCTTAGTCTGGCTTTCAGATTAATTGAGGATTTGGGTGAGATCTTAGCCTCTCACTGACTCAAAAATTCAAATCAACTTTTATGGCCTAGAGAATGAAACATGCACAAGAAAACACTCACTAGAGGGCAAATGGGAAAGCAAGGGCAAGAGAAGGCCCCCAGCCCAGCTCTTTGTCCAGCGAGCTTTTAAGGCAAGTATAAGATAATGGAATAAGTAAGTATAGCTGTGTGACCAAGCTAAGGCACAGTATGGCCCCAGGTCCTGCCAGAAAAGGAGAAAACAAGACTCATCATCATTGTGTTACTGGCGGGCAGATGTAATTCAGTGGAAGGTGTGACCTGTAGGTCATTTGTGTTGGACAGGGTTCCAAACTGTGAGACCAAGGTCCTGCAAGTGAGAAGAAAATTGTGGGATAGGGAGGGGGCATTCTCAAGAGCAAATTTTGTGGTCTAATATGATAGAGATGCAGCACCCACCAAGCAAACCTGAGCTGAATCAATGAATCTCTGAAGATCTAAACACGTTTGGGACTGAGAAAATGGAGCCTTATACCTCTAGGAGCAAAGCTATTGAAAATTCCTCAGATTTTAATTAGCTCCCATGCACAAGCAACAGAGCACTCAAAATGTACCAGGGCTGAGGGGTTAGAAAGAATGCATTTCCTGGAATGTGGTAGGCTCTCCAGATAACTTTACATCCGAGAATTAACATAATTAATGCATATAACCATGGCTGGCACATACTGTGGGCTTCATAAAGGTGAACTATTACTACTATCTATATACCAGTAGTTATAAAAGTGTGATCTACAGACCCTTGGAGGCCCAAGACCCTTTAGGCAGACCCCAAGGCCACATGCATTTTTGCAATAAGGCTAAGAGATGTTATTTGCTTCTTTCATCGTGCTGAGAGTTGTACACATGGCACAAAAGCAGTGTGGGTAAAACCACTGGTGCCTCAGTGCGAATCTACTGAGCAGCCCCCAGCTGTATTTTTTACTACCACACCCCCAGAAAAATGCCCAGTTTCACATCGGAAGGTCCTGAAGGAAGCAGTTAAGATTACTAATTTTATTAACAATTTTCTCTCGAGTTTACATATTTTTAACATCCTACATGACAGAATGGTTAGTACGCATAAAGCACTTCTGAGTATCAAGGCTCAGTGGTTTTTCTTGAGAAAAGCACTTGTGTGATTGAGTTGTGAGCTAAACTAGCCACTTGTTTCATGGAATGCCATTTTTAATTAAAAGAATGACAAACTATGGTTAATTAGACTTGAGTGACATTTTTTTTTTAAATGAAAGAAGAAAGCTTTTTCACTTCAAATGACAGTATTTGTTGCCAGTAATGAAATTTGAGCTTTCAAGTGAAAAGAGAATTTTGGAAAACATTTATCTGCCACTGTGAGCTTGACAACTTCCCAATACTTAAAGACTAGTACTTAAATTGTTGATATTAATAAATGTGATTTAAAAGTATTTTATAAAGAAATGTGTCAACGCTTGGAAGGTCTGTATAACTCAGGGAACTAATAATTTTCCAATGATCAATGAGTGATGTTAGAAAAACATTCACAGGTAAAAGAGACATTCAAAGGTGCAAGATAGGCCAATGGATTTTTATGTAATGAAGTACAAAAATTTCTTTAATATGGCTTCAGATTCTACATGCCAACTAACTTTTGAGCAACTATTACTTGTTCAGTTTTGATATAATATCAAAGAAGAATATCCAAATTTATCTGAAAAGGCTATGAAAATACTCCTCTCCTTCGAATCATATGTCTGTTTGAAGCCAGTTTTCTTCCTATTCTTTAACCAGACATAAAAATCCAGCTGCCTTCTAATGTGTTAGACATTAAAAAGATTTATTAAAATGCAAAACAAGGGCCGAGCCCGTGGTGCACTCGGGAGAGTGCGGCGCTGGGAGCGCAGCAGCGCTCCCGCCATGGGTTCGGATCCTATATAGGGATGACTGGTGCACTCACAGCGCTCACTGGCTGAGCACGGTGCAGCCGGTCTCAAAAAGGACAAAAAAAAAGCAAAACAATGTCACTCTTTTCCTTTTTTTTTTTTTTTGAAAAATTTAAGTGTTTTTATTTACATAACATGCAATGGGGTTTTATTTCTAAAAGAATTAACAAATATTTTTTTGAAATTCTCAGTTTTAATTTTTAATTTGGTAAACACTGATAGACATAACTCACATAAACTAAAATTTTTGGGCTCCTCGGTAATATTTAAGAATGTAAAGGGATCCCAACACCAAAAAGTTTGAAAACACTGATCTATAGACAAGGCCCGTGTTGAGGTAAGGCTATGACAGGAAAGCAGAGTTTTCCCTGCAGCTGAGATGAACCCTGTTCCATTAGGCTGTGTGATTCTAATCGAGTAGATGACACCTCAACGTGGAAAGCTTCCTATGCTTGTTTCTGGATGGGAGGTAGATGAAGTGTGAGTGTAAGAAGAGTAAGACACCTTACATTGAGAAATTAAGTAAGGATTAAAGAATCATTATTTTGAAAACTAAATCCCAGCAGTCAAGGGCCCCAGCCATTATTCATTCATCACTAAAGGGCTCTCTGAGAGCCTGAAGGGCTCCAAATGCTTTCCTCTTCCTTCATTGGGGTTTAAGATCAGTCACCTTCAGAGAAATGAAGGAAGCAGGCATGATGTGCTAAGCCGAGGCTGCTCTTTGGCCCATCCAGGACACACAGGAGAAGGTGGGCTGCAGGCTGGAGGGAGCTGCTTAATTCTTTGTCCCCAACATGAGCTGACCTTCCGGCAATGACTGTTCTCGTTAATACTGCAAACCAGGGCTATCAACTACAGAAGGCTTTGCCCTGGAGTTGCTGGGTATCTAGGACTCAGGACACATCTCATTCACATCCTGAACTGAATAGTTGAGTTACCTCCAGGTTTGT